TGGTTTCCAACGAAGGTAGAAGGAAAAGGGGGAACAAAAATGGAAGTTGGAGGGATCGATTGAAGTATGTGTTAAAGGCAGGGTTGTTTGAGCTAGACGATGGTGATATGAAGGAGGTAAGAACGAACGTTTTGGCTGGTTAGTCTCGCCGGAGAAAGGAGGAGGAGCGGTGGTTTCGGGAGTACGTGAGAAATAGGAAGAAGAAGATGGGAATCGGGGAAAGGGAAAGGGGTTGGGGATATTTATTTTCATTTCTTTTTTTTTTTAATTTAAAAACCGATAAATAAATTATAGAAAATTAATAAATAAATTATTAAGGGCAAAATAGTAATTTTATGTCCTTAGGACGACCCGAGTGGAAAAAAAATCATATAGGACGGTCCGAGTTAATTTTTAAAAATAAGGACTAAACATGTACTTTGGCACCTGGGACTTAATTTTATCAAAAAGTAATTTAAAACCTTCCGAAGAATAAAACCTTCCCTTTCATGAGCATCATGTGTGTCCAATTTCATATTCACAATGTCTTTTTTCTTCCTTTGTCAAAGACAATTTTTTAGTTAAGATGGTGAGTATTTTCATTTCTTAAATCATAATAACTAATATTATTTTTAATTTTTAAAACTTTATAAAAAAAATACACTTACTCTCATCTTTGAAGATATTTATTACTTTATTATTATTATTATGTACATTTACCGTGTGATTTGTATTGTATTTGATTTTCGTTATTATAAACTAACCGACTAAAAACATATTATAGTTTATAATATAAATTTCAAAACTTTTTAAATAAATCGCTTGTTTCACTTTCATACAGTGGTGTCTACATTTTAACTTTTAGTGCAATACATTGAACTACTCTTCAAGTTCAAAGCATATCATATTTGACTTTGTACACGGTTTCATTATCTACAGGTTTATGGACACGTATCATTACATTGTTAAATTTATTTAATTCATGTTCTTTTTATATATCTACATTGATATAATTAAATGGTTAACATCATAAAACAGCAAATATACTATTGGGAACAAACTATTTGAGATGTAGTTCTGGGTTAAATATCGGGGAAAACTATTTCAGATGTACTGTTGGGTTAATATCATAAAACGGGGAGTAAATTACATGAATGGTCCCTATGGTTTTGGGTAATTTGCGCACTTGATCCCTAACTTATTTTTTTAACTCGGAAAGTCCTTATTGTTTGTTTTTGTTACGCGCTTGGTCGCTACTGTTTGTTTTTGTTACACGCTTGATCCCCGTCTTACCTAAAAAACTATTATTTAAATAGGAAAAATGGTGGCGTATGTAAGGTAAGGTGAGAGAGGTGGGGCTGGGGTGTGTTTATTTAAATAAATTAAAAAATCAAAGGCAACATAGTTTTTTTAGGTAGACTAAACTGCACAAATGGTCCCTATGGTTTGCTTAAAATTGTCACTTTAGTCCAAAAAAGTTTGGACTAGCACCAGAGGTCCAAAGTTTTCATTTTGTTGCTTGTTTGGTCCAATCTGTTCTGAATTTTTTCAAAATGACGGATTTGCCCCTGTTAATTTGATTTTTTCTTTTTTCTTAATTGTATTTCTGATTTTCAGATTTAAAAAATAAATAAATAAATAAAAATGAAATCTCTCTCTCTCTAATCCATTCCAAATCGAAAAGGTATTTCTCAGATATGAAAGCCGATGTGCCCTAGAACGATATTACGATCAATCCACCCAACCCATAGATTCCCAATCTTCGTTCTTCTTCCCTCAAATGTAATCGATTTAGGGTTACGTTTGCTTGAATTTGAAGAGTCGAAAACGTAGTCAATGGACAGAACAAGTGTTCGACACCGATCCAGCCAAATCGGTTATCCCCGTCGTATCTCCGTCCGATCTACCATCTGCCCACTGATCGGCTTCGCCCCTTTTCCTCTTACCGGCAGATCAACTCAGATCGACTTCCACCTCTACCCACAAACCTTGGATTGCAGAGTAGAAAGCTTCTTTCTCTGTTCGAAGTGAGTCACGAAGATCAGTGTGAAGTTCAAATTGGAGATATCGATACTCAAATCTTCAAGAAGCTTCATCCGGTTACCATTATGCCCCTCACCGTGAATATGTTGAACTATTGTTTTATTTATTTGAATCCTAACTCTGCACCATTGTTTGATTTATGAACCCTATATTTTTATGTGTATCTGGATTTGTGTGTACTATTGTGGCTAGGTGGTAACTAAGAGCTTATTTGGGTGATCTTTACTCTTTATGGAAGCAAAGGATTGAAAAGAGAAAATTGTTTCAGTATATTCCAGGATGTGACCATCGGAGGATTAGGTTCTAAGTGTCGAAGAAGGTGTTCTGATTCCAAGGCCTGAAACCGAGTTGATAATCGATCTGGTGGAAGATATGATCAAGCAGAGTCAAGAATTGAACGAAGGTTTGTGGGTGGATTTAGGTACCGGTTCTAGTGTAATAGTTATTGGAATCGGGAGGCTTTCATGGATTAGGATTGAGAGAGAAGGTGGGTTTGTGTGTTTAACACACACACACACAGAGAGATTTCATTTTTATTTTTTTTATTTTATTATAAAAAATTATAAAAATAAAATAGAAAATGCAAATTTTCTTTTTTATTTTTTATTTTAATTAAAAAAAGTATTTAAATAATAATAAAACTGAAAAAGAAAAAAAAATAAGGGTAAAATAGTCATTATAAAAAAGTTAATAGAAAACTGGATCAAATTCGCAACAAAATGAAAAGTTTGGACCTCTTGTGCTAGTCCAAACCTTTTTGGACCAAAGTAGCAATTTTCAGCTAACCACAGGGACCATTTGTGCAGTTTTGTCTTTTAGGTAAGATAAGGACCAAACGCGTAACAAAAACAAACAGTAGGGACCTTCCGAGTTAAAAAAATAAGGAAGGGACCGAACACGTAAATTACCCTAAACCATAGGGACCATTTGTGTAATTTACTCTAAAACGGGAGAAACCATCTGAGATATTCAGAAAATTCCTTTCCATTTTAAAAATACTACAGAAGGTAAGCACAAACATACTATCAATATGGGTATTTTCTAAACAAAACTTACAAGCTATTTACCTTATACTTTTTTTTGGTGCTTTTATACATTTTAAATAATTTGTTACTCATTTATGACATCAACTGTCACCTTTTTTTTTATTCAGCCAACAACATAGAGTGCATATATTGATGCTACAACCGACTAGATTTCTCAAAATACAGTGTCCTAATAAGAAAAAAATTAAAAGTACAACGCCTTAACTAGAAAATCAAAGTACGTTATTATTCCTAGCAATTAGCTCCATTTTAAAACCAATGTTGGCCTACAAAACCAAAACAAAACTTCCCAAGTTACAAAATCAATACCAAAAAAATCATACGGGTAACGGAATATCATGAACATATTTCTTCTCATAAAACCCCATCACCTGGTCAGCCACCCCCCACATAATCGCCTGACCGGGTGGTATCCTCATCAACCGTGGAACCAAACCCTTCCACAAAGCAAACACCCCTTCTTCACCATAAATCTTTTTAATTGCATCAAACATCCCCTTATAATACTTCCCTTCACCTCCCGATTTACTCTGTGCCATTAGCCTTGTTTTCACAACATCAAAAGGCCCAGTGCAAACGGGGCCCGCAGTGCCAGCTAGGAACCCAGATATCATGGATTGCCAGGGTTGCAGGACTTTTCCATCGCCTTCGTGTTTCCTCCATAACAACCCGTCGAATGTGTTCTTGGCGGTGAACATGACCGCTTGGTTCGTGCCATTTCGCATTACGGTTGGGGAAGCGCCGGCCCAGAGACCGCGTATGCCTTCCTCACGGATGATTAACCGCCCGCAATGGATTGGACCTTTGTATTTTAGAAGCTCTTGACTTAGTCCCTTTTGTTGTTGTAATCTTATTTTTACAACCTGCGTTAAGTAAAGTTGAAATTTGAGGAAAATTTGAAGGATAAATGGAAGAAATAGCAATGTACTTTTGTTTTTTTATTTTTTATTGTGTGTGTGTGTATTATAGCATCCTATTTTCTTTTGTTTTTCTATTATGATATCAGATTTTCGTTTTTTTTCTTGTTAAGTCGTCGTGCTTCGAAAATTTTACCCAATTATAGCGTTGGACTTTCAACTTTTTTTTTCTTGTTGAAGACATTATATGCTGAAAAATGTATTTTCTATTTTACCCAATTATAGCATTGGACTTTCAACTTTTTTCTTATTACGACATTATACTTTGAAAAAACTACCCGATTATATTAGTGAAAATTGCTTTTTAGTTGGATAACATTGTTATATGGTGGATTTTTTAAAGTACAATGTTGTAATAGCAAAAAAGTTAATTAGCTGATTTTCATCTAAGGCCCTTTTTTTTTTCTTATTAACTGTTGTTAACATAAAGTGTTGTCAGAATAAATGATATTTTTTAGAAAATATCAGCAGACTTATGGAAACTGAATGAACAAGTAAATGAGGATATTTTGTAAAAGTTAGGAATCAATCGAGGAAAGTCTTGTTTCTATAACTTTCTTTATTAAGTTTTTTTTTTTTCCATTAAGTCAAAAGGAGACACTCAAACACTCATATATAGTTTATCAAATTAGGTCTTGTCTTGTTGAGTCCACTAAGTCAAAAAGAAACAATACCAAAATCTTGTTTGGAACTTGAGGAAAATTTAAATGATATTCTCAAAATGAGTACATTCTTTGTCTATAATAGTATTACAATTAAGTAGATTACTTTTTAAAAGAAGAAAGCTATGACAAACATTATATTTTATAAACGACTTACAGGTAACAGGGCCTCCATCCAAAGGTGTTATTATTAGTTTATTACTAGAGAACCAAAAGGTAACTGGTAAAGCATTCTTTATATATTTCAGTGTTCTAACTTTTCACTATAATTGTTAAAACAGTACATATTCACTACCTCAAATCGTTGTTTTATATCCCCTAAATAGACTCCATATGATTTAAAACGCCATTTCATTCATGCTATTTAGCCAATTGAAGAAGCAGCCAAGCTAAATTATAGTTTTTTTTTTGTAAATATAAAGCTAAATCCAACGAACCAAATGCCAAACATGCACCATAAAATGGTATTTTAAATTAATTGGGTATGTAGATCTAAGATACATTAGTATAATTGCGCTAATTGGGGAAATTCAAACTGAAGGGCATATAAACAGATTAAAAACAGTTTACAATACTAAAAATTTAGGCAATTGCATGTGTAAAATCGAATGGAGATTCGACTAACCTCACCTCAAATGGGGTAACAATCACAAGAGCTTCAATGACACCAGCACCAAACCCAGAAAGAAACCTCCCACCATCGCTAATCTTTCCGGTGTTGGAATCCTTAAATACCGATTGTAACACGGCATTGGAGAACATCCGTAGGGCATACTTCAATGTCAAGTGGGTGGCAAAGGGTGTCAAACCCTTCCAGAGAGCACGGACGCCTTCGTTTGTGACAGTGGTGCTGCCGCAATGAAGAATACCCTTGTAGTAACTGGCCCGATCCAGTTGTAAACGGGTCTTGATAACATCGATGGGTTGGAGACAAGATGCCTCGACAATTCCACCAAGTGAACCGGATATGGCTTTTACATATGCAGGGATTGCTGGTTTTCTTTGGGTCTGGTTTGATGGGGTTCCATCGGGTTTCTCTGCCATTGGAGAAAGAAAGGGAGAAATTCCTTCCGTATCTCCTTTTACGGCGGTTGGAAAAAGCTCGGGGGTTGGTAGGTAGCCTGAATTGTTAAGCCTTTATAAATGTGTTCCGCCCATTCGTCTTTTGACTTCGATTACTGTTTACTTGCCATATCATATAAAAAGAAAAGGAGAAAAATTACAAATCTAAGTCTTTTTTTAATGAATTTGTAAAAAAAATAATAGTTATTGAAACTCCTTATTACAAAAAATAATATTCATTGAAACTGCTAACTAATCTGCAGTATAAAAATATTTTTATTTTTATCCTTTTCCCATGAAACCGCAAATGGCTTACGGCATCTATGGTTTTCTCTTGTGTCAACTGTTATTTCGATCGTTCTTCTTTTCTTGTATTCCGAAGAACAAAACTGTAGATGGCTTAGCCTCGCCTACTGATTCATCTATTGCTTGTTGTTTCGTCCCTTGTTGTTTCGTTTATGCAATTCATCTGCTATTTCGTTCAATGGGGTGAATCAAGTCAAATAACATACAAACTACTAATCTACTACAAAATAATCAAGGGATAACACTTAACGACGTACAAATAAAACTAAATTGGAAAAAAACTCAAAAAAAATAATAAATAATAAAAAATAAGAAAGATATTTGGCTTGACTTAACAACTTAACAACATTCTTATTTTCAAATTTAGTTTTGTTTGTACATTGTTAAGTGTTATCTTTTGATTATGTTGTAGTAGTTTGTATGATATTTGACCATTTGAATGAAATAGCAAGCGAATTGCATAAACAAAATAACAGACGGGGGATAAAACAACAGGCGAGGTCAAGCCATCTGCGGTTTCGTTCTTTAAAATCACAGGAACGAATAACGAACGAAATAACGTTGTTGATATAAGAGGAAACGCGAATTACCTAAGTCATTTGCGATTCGTAGGAAAAATGAAAAAATAAAATAAAATAAAATTCTTTTTATAGACTACAACGAAACTGCAGACGAGACACAAAACAACATGCGAGTTAGCCTCGTATGCGGTTTCAATGGCTAATTTTTTACTATTTTTTGCAAAATTATTATGGAAAAGGGCTTGATATTGTTTTTAAAACTCAACCAAATCAAAATTTATTGTTCAAAATCTCACTAACACCATGTTCTTCGGTTTCTTTTAAGAAGGGGAAGGAAAGAAAATGGGAGGAAAATGTGTATTTGAGATCTTTTAAGGAGAGGAAGGAAATAAAATAGGAGGAAAATTGTATTCTTGAGAAATTTTAAGGAGGGAAGGAAAGGAAATATAATGAAATGCATTCTTGAGTTTCATTTAAGAAGGGGAAGAAAATGAATGGAAGGACAGTCGGGCGTTTTCCTTTTAAAATATACTAGGTGTGAGACTCATGTATTACATAAGTTTATTTAAAAAAAATTAAATATGAAATTTTAACAATTTGAGAATTTTGAATTTATAAGAAAAATAAGAAAATTTTTAAATTATTAAAATTAATGAGACTTTAATACATTGAATACATTACATATATAAACATTTTTTAATAAATACCTTACATATATATATTACCTTACATATTAAATGTGAAATTTTAATTTAATAAAATGAAAAATATAATAAAACGACAAGTGGAAAATAAAAAATTCAATAATTCTAGAAAATGACATGTGTCCAAATGAAGGAGAAGAAGACATGTGGCAAAAAGATTTTGATTTATTAGAGATGATTCTCCCAAATGGAAATAACTGAGAATTAAAGGGAAGGAAAGCAAATGAAGGGGTTCCCATCAGTTTTAAACTCACAAGGTATAAAATAGTTGAGTACGCCACCTCCTAATATATCTAAATGAATACACCTCTCCATAATTATATCTTAATGGGTCCACCTCTCCATCAAACAATATACATGCGAGTTATCATACAAGTACCACACGAAGGGTAATTAGCCCAATTGTACAAGTGAGACATGTCTAGAATACTGTCATATCAATTTAACACCTTAAAACCTTAATACCTTACTTACGTACCCCAACTCTATATAGCACACAAGACAACCCGCCTTAAGTGAATGCTAAAGTCTTGAAGAAACCAAGTGAAAAATGCAACATCCCAAAAATCATAGTAAAACTTTCATTTTAATTAAGCCAAAAACATCAATTATTCATGTCTAACCATCATAAGTATACCAAGGTGAAAATAGTTATCAGAGTACAAATCCCAAAATCATAAAAAGTTGGACACGGGTGGATACGTTGCGATCATGCCGGACCCTTCCCTTTCGAACCGGAAGTACCTGAAACATAAACTAAAATCGTAAGCACAAAGCTTAGTGGGTTCCCCAAAATACCTCATACCATACAAATAACGGGTCGCGCCCAATGAGTATAACGAGCCTCGCCCTAACTCGCATAACGGGCCCCACCCAATGAGTAAAACGGGCCTCGTCCTAACTCGCATACCACCGAATGAGTATAACGGGCCTCGCCCTAGCTCGCATAACGGGCCCCGCCCAACGTACAAAGCATGAAAGTATCACACAGACAACTAGCATCAAACAACATAATCCAGTGGGTCGACATTGATGCCTTCGACCAACGTGTATAGTGAAGAGACTCACCTCTCAGACGATAATCAATTGATGTTGCTCTCACTGCTAACAAAATTAGTGCTAATCTCACCTAGATAGTTATACAAGTTAAACCCTTAGTCTACCTTCCAAAGCTAAGGGTTGGCCAAAAGTCAACTCAAGTCAAAGTCAAAGTCAAACTCAGTTGACCTCCACATCGTGGCCAACCTTGGCCACGCCGTAGCCTACGGGTCTAAACCCAATCCATACCCAAGTCAAAGGAGTCAACAATCCATCAGCAGGTTCTCCACTTTGTGGTCTTCCTTGGCCACGACGTGGGCATAAGATGACAAAACAGTTGAGTAGTCCTTACTCGCCACGTTGTGGCGGCCTAGTGTCATGTCGTGGGGAGTAGTCTAATTAGCTTAATCGAGTTAAGTTGCTTTTAACTCAAAACCAAATGCTCAAAAAACCCATATCTACTCTTTCTCAACGCCTAATGGATAAAGTTTCCAACTTTATCCATTAAGACACTTCAATAAGACAAAATCTCTAATCAAAGGTTTAATAAAGGCAAAAATCATGACATGGTTAAACATTAAGCACTTTTCCTTCCTTAGCCTAACCAACTCCATAAGGGTTTCTAATACCAGATCTAGCATAAAGTTGAGTGCTTTATAAACATGCATGTCTAGATTCCATTTTAGGTCAAAATGAGCAAAAGGTGACCAAAACTCATGCAAGGCTAAAAATCCCAACCAAAGTCTAGATATACAAGATATATTGCTCATGGGACTCAGGAGAGTCATAAAGTTGCAATTTATCATATCAAACCAACCAAACATCACTTATGGACCAAAATAAGATAATAAAGCTAGATCTACAACCAAAGAGTCATCAAAACGGAAACTTGAAGACTTACAATTTGTCCAAAGAGTGATTCCAAGGATAGGGGGAGTTGTTGCTTGATCTTTGGGCTAGCACCTTCTTCTCCTTCCTTCAAAATACAACCAAACACCACAAAAAGCTCAATATCACACAAGTGAGGCTAGGATAACGATTTTTGGTCTTAAGAGGGTGATAGAGGTTGAAAGATCACGAAACCCTAGCCATAATGTCCTTTATATAGGGCCCAAAGCCCAAGGATTAGGGTTTCTCCAACATCGGCTGCCACGTCGTGGCACCCATTGCCACGCCGTGGCGAGTCATTTAAATCCGCGGTCAAGAAAATAAGGCCACACCGTGGAAACCCAAGAATAAAATTCTGAAATTTAATTGAATTGACTCATACCTAAAACGGGTGTTACAAAAAACATCAAAGTTATTTCTTTTGTATGGAAACTCGTTTCAAAAACAACCTCTTAAAGACACACCATCATATATATATATATATATATATATATATATATATATATATATATATATATAGTATACACATAACATAGATGGAAAACTCATAAAAATATATAAAACACATAAACACATCAAAAATAGTAATATCACATATAATTTTAGTAAAAACTCACCTTACTTGGTTGAATAAACCTACATCACTCTTGTGGTTGTTAGAGTACTTAATAGTCACATGAGGCGAGCAATGGTTGGGTTAATTATCCCTTAAATGCCTATTAAATCCCTAGTTGACTCTTATTAGCAACCATAGACTTTTTTTGTTCTCAAAACATCATTAAGATCATAGGAAGATATATGAGAAAAACCAGACTTAATTTGTAAAACTTACAAAAAGCGGGTTTTTTTCGTAAGAAGATTGACCTAAACAAGTTAAATGAACAAATGAATCTGACTCGACTTAGGCCATATTGATTCAACAAGTATGATGACTAGAAAATGAGTTTCAAGCAATTATATCAAGTCTAAAACATGTCTAACTTTAATCTAATGAATTCTAATGACTTAGCATGATTAATTTACATTCACTAACATGCTTTAAACCCTTATTAACATCATAACCATCATAATTAACTTGATTAAATCATGGATTAAAGTGATCATCATAATAAACTATATTTTCATGCTTTAAAACTTATGGATAACCACTATATTGGGTTTTCATCCATGATTTGCATCAAGGATGATACAAATCAAAATAATACATACTTTATAACCATAATAAAATGATTAATTCCTATATTCAATGGATCCATGGGTGTTTATTGTAGGAATAATATTTCGGTAATGTACGAAAACAAACAAAAAAATAGAAATACTGAGACATGTGTTTAACACATTGTCCTTAAAACAAATTCACCCGCTACCGGGTGTTTGTTTCCCAGGATACAACAGTTTGAAGTGGTTCTTCTAGACCACCCGAACCCTCAATAGGCCTGAATTATAAGCTCAATATAGCTATAAAAAGAAAAAGATGAATCGGGGAAGAAGAGAGTTTTCTTACATTCTTTTGGTGTACTCAAATGGTTGTAGAATAGTGGTATTTATACTGCACATTCTATAACCTCCCATTTAAACACCTCTATTAATCACAAAGATTAATGTGTGTTAAATTGTAATATTAATTACAATTTCAGTTATGAA